TGAGGGGGGTGTTAATGTGTATATTTGTGTATTTACTATATTAGCCTTAGGTTCTCTTTAGGTAATCGCGCGTAGCCCTAATTTTGTGTATATATTCTGGTTAATAGAGAGTTGTATCATCCAATTGAGATGATCTTTCCCACAAATTACATCTTGTGTTTCTCGTATCATGTAGTCCTAATTAGGTGTATATATTCTTGGTTTATAGAAGTTGTATCATTCGATTGAGATGATCATTTTTTCTGAATTTATCTTGTCTGTTTCTTATCAAATATAACTAGAGATGTTAAACGGGCTAGTCCTGACGGTTTTGGGTTAGCCCTAACGGGCTTCGGGCTAAACGGTCCAGGCCTAAAATGCCCGAATTTAAATGGACTACCAATAAAATGACCTAACCCTAACCCTCGCGGGCTTCGGGCTAAACGGGCTAAACGGACTATAATAATAATATATAAATAAACATATAAATAAAAATTACAACGACTAATTCACGATTATTTTCAACGGCTATTTAGTATTTACCGCTCTATATATATACAACTACATTTCATGTATGAACACTCATTACAAACTCTTAAGTGACATGTTTTTACGAAAAGAAAAAAAAATGTTCGAACTATTACTTATAATTACCATTTTACTACTTATTTTTGTACGCTTTGGAAATTTTCACGATATTGTATCTTACTATTGAATTTATATTCTATCACTATGTTTTATGTGTTAGGTCTTTGTCTCATGTATTTTTCATTAGCCGTTCTAATTGACTTAAATAATTTGGTGTGAAGTAGAATAGCGAAATAATTCGTCTCATGTATTCTATCACTATTGGTTTTTGCTATGAGTATTTGTTATCGTTCGAAAAAAAAGTAGAATAACGAAATAGTTAATAATTATTTTTCAAAATCATAATAACCCGCTACAGCTCATAGTTACATATAAAGTAGAATAGTGAAGTTGTAATATACAAATTAAACGGGCTAGCCCTAACGGGCTTCGGACTAGCCCTATCGGGCTCCGATTTAAACGGTCCGGGCCTAAAAAGCCCTGATTTAAACGGGCTACTAAAAAAATATCATAACCCTGTTTTTTTTTCGGGCTAAACGGTCCGGCCCGTCGGGCCAAGTATCGTTTAGAGATATTAACATCTCTAAATATAACGATTATGTTAGGGTAGAAATCAACTATTTAATTTTATATCTTTACGTATATTTTACAAGAAAAACTAACAAACGCATATATATTAAATTATATGCTAAAAAATATCAGTTAAGTTTGACTAATTATATTGATGATGAGATGACGAATTTGGGTAAATGGAGCGGGCTAAACACTGTACTGTAGTCTGCATTTTCGGAGAGGAGGAATGCAATAATGGTGAATATGCATATGTGCAGATGGTCCCCTTTGTAACAAACTTCTGCGTCACATGTCTCCCCACTCCAACGTTCAACAAACAAATGTACAAAACAAAAAACTATTTATATATTATTATTATAACGGCAGAATATTGAAATATCATTCTCTTTTCCATAAATTACGATGCTGCCCCTCCCCCAATAATAAATTATTAAATCAGGCATGTGGAGATGGTGTCGTGCGGGATTAACGCCTTAACTGTCTCTGGGCCCCACTTGAAAGGAAAAAGAAGCTTGAAATCTCAACGGGCCACATGCCCAATTCCAATTGCGAACACACACACAATACAAGTCTTCTTAACTATTTCTTCTGTTTCACATTCTAAAATATCAATTTTAATTTATTATTTTTTTTTGGTACATAGACTTTCCGGTTTTCGGATCCACATGGGAACCGACTAATTCAGAATCGAGCCGGATAGGACCACAAGGGCGGCAAAGCTCTCCCTCAAAAGTTTTAACACTGCTGCATTCCCAGGGCTCGAACACGAGACCACTGGTTAAGCTGGAAGAGACTCAAGTCATCTCATTCAAACGGTATTTTAATTCACTATTTATTTATACTTGCGCACACAAACTCCCACTTCCCACTACATTAATTTATCCCTTTCCTTCCTTATTTTCTCTGTTGCAAAGAAAAAAAAAAAGAAAGAAAAAGAAACATTGTCGGTACGTTGCCTCTCACGCGCCGCCTTAAATCATGGAGGGCCTCCTCGCATCCTACATTATTATTATCCTTTTCAGCTTGCTAGCAGTTTCCCCCGCCGCCGCTGCATCCTTGGTCCAGAGGTGGCAGACGGCCACGGCCACGTGGTACGGCAGTCCGGAAGGGGACGGGAGCGACGGCGGCGCGTGCGGGTACGGGTCCCTGGTGGACGTGAAGCCGTTCCGGGCACGGGTCGGGGCGGTGAGCCCGGTCCTGTTCAAGGGCGGCGAGGGGTGCGGCGCGTGCTACAAGGTGAAGTGCCTCGACCGTTCCATATGTTCGAGGAGGGCCGCCACAGTCATCATCACGGATGAGTGCCCCGGCGGCTACTGTTCCAACGGCCGTATCCATTTCGACCTCAGCGGTGCCGCCTTCGGCCGGATGGCCGTCACCGGCGGCGGAGCCCGGCTGCGCAACCGCGGCGAGATTCCCGTCATCTTTCGCAGGTAATTCATATTTACTTACCTTTTTTTTATTGATGTTGTCTGTGTTTCTCGATTTGACTGTCAATATGTTTTTCTGTTTTGTCGTTTTGTGTTTGAAATAAAGCCTTGTTTGTTAAGTAATTAGGTGTGGACTTAGTTCCTTTTAATTGGCTCTATGTACTTAACGGATTAGTCGGTTCCCTTGTGGATTCGGAAACCGGAAGGTCCCTGTACCAAAAAAAAAAAAAAAGAAATGTAATGATTTTCTTTTTTTTTTTCTAAAATTAGTGAAAACAATGTGAAAGAAAAATATTGAATTTTAACTGACTTTCTTAAGCCGACCTATTTTATTTACGTACAAGATATTTTTTCTAACAAGTTAATAATTAATTAAGAGTTTTCATTTTTTTTTTCAATTATTAATTTCTTGGCGAGAAATGAGTTCAAAGTTAATAAATAGTAGTTCAGTTACAGTTACAGTATACTGACTGGTCAGTAGTGTTGGGGCCCGAAAGTACTTTGAAAATCATTATAATTTATGAAGATGCTACGCTTTCGTTATGTAACCATCTCGTTGAGGTTTGTAACCGTTAGATTAACTATTTCTGTAACGGAACCTTAACATTTTTCTATAATTTATAACTGACGTTAATTTTGACAGTGTGACCCACATATCTCTTCAATGTGCTAGTACCATTGGTTGTAAATTTTGGGGTAAAATTTGTGGATTATTTTCTTAATTGTGTACAATGTATATATATATATATATGGTTTCTTAATTCTAAAAAAATATATTTTTTTTGATAAACCTGTACATACTTCTATACTTATTTATATTGAATTGTTGGTAAATGTCACATGTGACAAAGTAAAGTAACTGATCACATGAGTTAACTAACATGTACACATGCATGTTCCTATCTTTTTTGTCATAATTTTGTGGCTCCAACCAAAAATGAAGCGTAAAGATAATCCAACAATACAGCATATCCTACTTGTCAGTGTGTACTAGCTAATTTTTTTTATTTTTTTTTTTTTAATTTTTGTTTTTATGTATAAAAAGTTATGGTGTGTGAGAATAAATTGAGCATATATGTTTTTTTGAGAAAATTAAAGTATATATTATATATATGTGTGTGCAGGACACCTTGCAAATATCCGGGGAAAAACATAGCTTTCCATGTGAATGAAGGATCAACTAATTATTGGCTATCACTTTTAGTTGAATTTGAGGATGGAGATGGTGATGTTGGATCCATGCACATTAGAGAGGTAAATCTAAAGCATATATATATATATATATATATATATATATGTATATTTTTAGAACATCACTTCTGAGTCGTCCCACATTGATTTGATACGGTAAATGAACTTAATTTATAAGCCTAGTGGGCTACTGAGGTGTACCTATACTCACCGGCCTCTTATTGCATACTTCACCCGTGTGGGACCCGCACTCTTGAATCCCCGATTATCAAAACATTTGACATATATCCCGCTAATCCATGACAAGTTGTGAAAATTCTTGTTGCTTTTAGGAAAGGGTGAAAAAGTGGATCAAGTAGGTTTAATTGGGTCCCTACATTATCACTTTTCAGTTAACTAATTATCCTACACTCAAAAGAAGCTTTTTCCTCTTTGGGAGGGCTTTTGTGATCTTTACTTTGAAAACTAATTCCAAGTATATAATGTATGCCAACTCCTTTAATCATGTGATATATATGATCCTCCTCAAGTTGAGTCACAACTTTATATTTTTATATATATATGTATATATGTCTTTCCTTTATAAGATAGATATTAATTCAAGTGCTTCACATGTTATATTCTTTTGGGACATCCCGGATTGTGGCAAGACATGGGCCCCACTTCAATTCGACCACCATTTGTAATGTACATTCATTAACTAACTAACTAACTAATAATAATAAAATAAAATAAATAAATTTGTGTGCAGGGTAACTCGGAGGCATGGCTAGAAATGACACACATATGGGGCGCCAACTGGTGCATCATTGCTGGGCCTCTACAAGGCCCATTCTCAGTGAAGCTCACCACACTGTCGACGGGAAGAACACTGTCTGCTCGGGACGTCATCCCCCGGAATTGGGCTCCCAAAGCCACATACACCTCTCGTCTCAACTTTTTTTAATCATTATTATGTCTATTGTGTTTTTTCACCAAAACAAGCTGAGTCTAGTGTTTTGGTTGTGTTTTAGTTTCGCTTTTATTAATTAGAAAACAGTTGGCAAGAGAAAGTTGCAGGCCAGGCGAGTCGACCTTCTCTTTTTTTTTTCTTTATCGGTTCTTTTCCGCGAGGTGTGTGTGAAGGTTGTGTGGTATTTCAAGTGTTTGGTAAAGATGTAAAATTAAGTAATGTAGCCCTCTCCAAAGGGAGAGAGTGCTTCACAATCTTTCTATAAGTGGTGTGTGTGTGTGCGTCTTTGTTTTGTGGGGATTATAAGGAAAGGGATAATTATTTGCATGTCATCACTGCTCGTCTCTTTCACCGCTTATAACTAAAGCAAGCGAAGAAAATGACAACAAAAAATGAATCCACGAAGCGATGAAAAGAATAAGAAAAAAGGGAAACGAAACTAAAGCATCTTATGTAGAAGGAAGCTGACGCAGCAGCTGCTCTCCAACAACAGGAACTTAATAAGAAGATGCTATATTATTTATAAGGAGTGGTATATTAAAATGAAAAACAAAAAAAGGAATTAATTGGAGACTTAGGCATCAAGACATGAGGGATGGTGACTCATTCTCCACGCTTGCCTTGTCTTCACTATTAGCCGAAGCCTCGTCCGGCTTGGGTGTTTTAGGAGTCGGCTGATGAGCTTCTTTAACTGGTGAAACAACAGGCTTAACAGGAGATCCCACTTGTGTACCAACACTAATATTCTTCTCTTCTTCACCAACTTCCGGTGATTTTTTATCGTCTTTTCCTTCCTTGGACTGCTCTTTTCCTTCGTTTGACGGGTTTTTTCCTTCTTCTTTCTTTGGCGGGGGTGGCATCATGTGTGGTGGGGGTTTCGTCTTCAACTTCATCAGCATTTGGCGCATTCTCGACATGTCGGTGGGCTTTCCGGGTTTCGGGCCGTCAACAACCACGACTGAGGGCTTCTTGTTGTTGTCATCTTTTTTCCCTCTCCTTTTCTCAATGTTGGGGACCTCGCGCGGTATCATCTCTGCTACTGCTTTCCAGAAATGTTGGTCCGCGTCTTTGTGGAACTTCTCTTGTTGCCCATGGTAAACCTGCAAAAACACCAACCTTTTTTATTTAACATTTTTTTCTTTTCTTTTGGAAAATGAATACTGTATACTGTGTGTGTGTGTGTGTATGCTTGTTAATTAATCTGGTCCTTACTTTCTCTCTTTCCCTGTTCTCAGCTTTGTTCGTCTCGCAGATTTGGCTTCTCTTCTCGTAGAATTTCTGTTTGTACTCTTCGGCTTCGGCGATTATCTGATTACGCAACTCCTTTTCTTTTTTCTCCTTCTCCTCAAGATATATGGCGTTTTGTCTGCATTCACCACCATATACCGAAACCAGACGTAAAATGACAAGTAAACAGAATATGTGCCAAGATCATCTTAACAAATGAAAGACAAGACATACAGAGATGAGTTAGCTATTCACAGAAAGAATATCAAAATAAAATAAAATATATGTTAATCTTCAATTCTATCACAAGACCAACAAAAAATATGCAAAAACGGACCGCCGCCATTCGCGAAAAGCAGCGCCTTGTTCGCGCATTTGGCTAGGATCTGGAAGTAAGGGACCTCCATCTTCATCTCCATTTCCATCTCCATCTTCGTCTTCATGCGCGAAAATCTCCGATTGGTTATCGTGTAAAGGGGCATTGGCATAGTGGCCTGCGTAGAGCTCTACCTCTGGGGAAGGTGCAAAAAAGCCATCAATAGGGAGAGGGGGAGGGTGGGGCACCACTCCCTCATCACCCATATTCTCCTCAAACCCATCCATCCTTTGGTTGATTGTGATGAGGAGGAATTATTCAATTGCCCATATTCAATGCTTTCAGTGAGTGTTTCTCGCCACATCTCTTTCCATTACACTTCTTTAACTCTCCAAATATAGGGAATGTTTGAATGAGTATGTTTTTGGTTTTCTGTTTGCTACCTCCAAATATAGGTGTTAGGATCATTAATATTGCATTGTCTTTCATTTCAATGCTTTAATTTTATCATTTTATGTTATTTCTCCTTTTTTTTTTTTTTTTTTT